AAGTCGATTCGGAGAAACAGGTGCCCCTTTCCCAGGCTCTGCACATAACACGTGCTAATCCCATATCAGTCTGCACTGGTGCAAGGCAGGCAAGGCAGGCACAGAGCACAGGGGGGCCTCCTTCTTCTTAGGTAAGGAAGTCTGACTAGCGCTGCCTGCTCCCTCCCTCCCTCCCACCCACCACACACCACCTGTGCCTTCCCAAACATTCAACCAAATCCCAAGAGGGAAGCTACTCCAGCTGTCACTCCTACCTGAGAGAAGGTACGTTATCTTGCCTGATGAGAAGGAGATTCAACGATTTCTGCATGAGGCAAATAAGAAAACCGACAGCAAAATGAAAATGGCCAGACCTCACGTCTTCAATGAACAGCAACGCCGTCGATGTACAACCCTGAGCTGGTATCCGAGCACGCAGCTGTCATGTATACATACCAGACACCTGCCCTGCCGTTTGCACTCTGGGGTAGTGTCACGCTGAACGACCGCCATAGGCCTCCTGCGATGGAGCCCGGCTGCAACCCGTAGCCTGCTTCGTCACTGGTCCAGCCCAGAATGGGACCACAACCCCCCGGGTTCCCACTTGCAGCCCGGAAACTCGCAGTCAGCCGCCAGTCGCGGCCCGCCGGGTTGGGGTACAACGTCACGGGCACCGCCACCGCGAAGTTGCGAAACGCCTCGTTGTCGAGGGACACGTAAAGCATGCCAGCGCCAAAGAGGCCCGAAAAGGAACCGTCCGCCGATGTCCGCACGATGCGGCACGGGCTCTGGTCAACGTTGCGGCACCAGTCTCCCGAGCCGTCACCCGACTCGAAGAGGGCGTTTGGCACGTTGGAGCTGCCGGGTGGGCCTGCTACCGTCGGGTCCGTCGCGATGGACGTGACTGTCGTGACGCTCGTCACCGTCGACGTGCTGACCGACACGGGACAGGTCGTCGTCTGTGGCATGGGCGTCGTGGTAGGCGTCACCGTCGTCGTACTCGGTCTCAGGCACGCGCAGGCGCTGGATATCCTAGCTGCGCTACCACCGCACCCCGACGCATAGGTTGGCAGGCCAGTCGTAGCAGGACTCGCCGCGGCGGTGTATGTGCTGCAGAAAGCCACTGCTTGTGAGACGACGGCGCTGTTGCGGAGGCCACGGAGGCAGTTATCAGCGTTGCATGACGCTGCTTGTGACTGTAGCAGCAGCGAAGCCACCGCCATGACTGATACGAATGTCCTCATCTTATTCTGATATGAGTTGTTGATGCGCCTTTTGATTGCTCGGGGTAGGTTTCTGCTTCAAGGCTGCGTGCCAAACTGATAACCTCACGAAGTTGGTTTGGACACGCAGCATATATGCTTTTCTCCATCTGCCCCTGTCTGCTCAAATATACCCTTGACATCGCTCTTATGAACTGTGCCTCCGGCATGCTTCAATAGCTCGCCGTGAACGCCGTGTTGCTTTGTACCAGTCAACGGCGTTGCCGGCACCTGAGGCCCAATGGCGGCGACCACTTGTCATCATTGCTTATTTTCAGCTCGCCCTGGGACTGCATTTGTTTCTCTTTTCAGACGCATGCGAAGCGCCCTGGGGCTAAGACGGTGAACAACGCCGCGCCAATGCATGTCAGACCGACCTCTCTTGCTTACCCCGCCATCATCCCCAAGGCCTTGGGTACTCGCGCAGCAAGACTTGACTAGCCATCAAAATTTTGTCCTGGGCGAGCAAGATTCACCATACCTCGGATCCCAGGCCAACCGTAAGCTCGCCGGAAACATTGGCTCTGGGCCTACGAACAGCCTGTTTTCTGTCTTCCCAAGGTCGGGTTGTGCTTCGAGCCTCGGTGCTGAAATGAAATGACCAGCAATATGTGCACTCGCATGATATGCTTGGCGTCTATTCCTACGGCAAAGGTGTCCGACTGTGGATGATGCTGCCGACAGCAGGTGTTCATCGACTGAGGAACCTCTAGATACTGCAATACGCAGAAGAGATTATGCTGCGGCACGGAACTTTAGGCCTGCATATTCCCATTGGCTATACCGAAGGTTGCGGTTTCACTCGCCCATTGCCTTCAGCAGACCATCAAATGCCATGTTAGGTCAATACGATGTCTGTACCCGAAGTATTGACAACTTCGCTGCCTATTTGCAGCTACGAGACACTCTTGCTGAGCTCCTGTCGAACAACATACATCGTTCCGTGTCTAGGGCTCGCCAGTGTCAGTCAACAGATACTCCTGTCAAGACAAGTGAAGTTGTTTGACAAAGTCCAGCTGGAAGTTTCCAGCAGGCCAATGTTATGAGTATCGATTGAACACTCTATCGCCGACTTGTCGCCGCGGCCTGTGAGAAAGCCGGCCGTTCCTGGCTAGGATTCTGTCTCCGCAATTGCGCAATGTGGGCTAACTTTCCGTTGCAGTGGTCTATAGATTACCCCGAACCGTTGAACATGTGTAGAACGCATTGTTGGGCCCGCGAGGATGGCATATGATGATCATGTGCGGGTTCGTTCAGACGCTGACTGAAATGGGGAACTGATCGCCATGCTGCAATATTGCGAGCCTCACTTTTTCCTTGATGTGAATTGACTGAAATAACAAGACGAGAAGGAGACGCACAGCATCGCATATCACAAAGCGCCAATCCAGATACCCAGACGCTTCGGATCACCATGACACGATTTCCGTTTTCGTCAGAGTAGAAAATCCGCCGATACCAGCCACTACCCCGCGCGTGCTGGCGCACGCTCCGGCGGCCAGGCATGACAGTCGAGCAGCCACGCATGCTGACGATCAGGAG